AATGCTTGGATTTGTTGGTCATGCATTTCTCTCATCTGCTGCATGGCCATCTCCATCTCAAACTTGAAATTTTCTTTCTACTTAGCCAAAGCGTCTTCAAGCATCTTGGCCATCTGTTCCGCACTTATCATAAGAGCCTCGCGGGGTTGTCCCTCGCTAGATACCGTGTTATCTGATGCGACTGCGGAGCCGGCATCAGATTCTTCATCTTCTGAAGGGCGTCTTGTCCGAACCCTACCATAGGTTGCTCGCTCGATGGTTCCGGACTGCAGACGGGTTCTAGGCCGGGAGGCTTTCAGAATCGACTCGAAATCATCCCGTGCCGATGTCCCTTTGCTCGTCATATTAGTGGTGACCCTCGGATATTCTCTGTCTTCAATCACCCTTCTTCTTCGTTGGAAACGCCTAGGCCTTGGTTTTGGTGTCTCCGCACTGAGTCTTTCAAAAACTGAAACTCTTTTGGGGACCGCCTCAATGCAGTTGCATTCAGACAATACCGCCCGAATGAGTTTGGAACAGGGGCATTGAGTTTCCTGTTCTCGGGGACTCCTCTTCCTGGTTCTATTCGTACCCCCAGCACGATAGTACAACTCGTCATTTTGACAGTCGGAGTAACCTATCGTGTGCGGGCACGCCTTCTCAGGTATAACACTATCACTATCAGATGATAATGTATCTGAGGTTGACTTGCCTTCTTTGGGCTTTCAAAGGTTACCCGCCTCAAAACATGCCTTTTTGGGCGTGAATTTTCGGCGTGCTCTTGGACTTCAATGCGCAAATTGGTGCGCGCAGCTGCCTTGAGCTCTTTGTCATGCTGGAGGTGATGGCGACCCCCAGTATGTTGAGTCGTTCTGGGCTTCTTCATCGGGCCCAAACGCTCGTGAATTGGAGCTTTGCCTCTCTCGTCAGGAATTGGACCGAGGCGCTCCATAATTGATTTCTTCTTGCGGGATGACTCTGCATGATCTCCCGGAGAAGTTATTGGGATTAACGGCGACTTTGGTTGATTCGCCGGAGTTTGACCTTGCTTTGAAGGTT